AGCCATTTATCATCATATCAAATTTTCAGCTAATTTGGCTAAGTCAAATATCCTCCTACCAATTAATTCTGCTTATTCTACCTTCTCCTTCAATTACTATTTCTCCATAATCCCATACGAATATAATTGTTTATAAACGATAGTGTAATACAACCAAGAATCAGTTTTGGTCAACTGGATTGATTCCTGGTTGTATTACACTAACGTTTGAAACTTTTGCCGTAGAGACTTAAACGATTCAAAACGTACACTCTCCTGCATTTGCTTCGACCAAACTTCGCTGATTCCGTGCTTTTTCTTTGGTAAAAATTGTCGACTGACAGTTGTTTCAGGTCGTTTCGGTGTTTGTTCATCACTTTTAGCGAAACCTGTCGACCAAAACTGATTCCTGATTGTTCTCCCAGTTTTTGGTTCTTTCGAAGTTGTTTCCGGTGTTGTTGCCGGTGTAACTTTAAAACCCATTACTGTGACGTTTTCATCTGCAATATTCAATATCGCTTTTCTTTTTTTAAGGAAACCGTCATTCTAATAGAAATGAAAATTATGGAAAATAAATCGATAAATTTTAAAATGATTTGCTGCAAAAAAGAATTGATCATCTTTTTTACCATATGATTGGATCGTTGTTTCCACTACAGTAATGCTTAATGCAAAAGCATTAACTCGTACTTCTAATTTAACAAACTTATTCAGCGATGGTACGTCTATTTTACAAAATCTGAAAATTTCATTCTTAAAAAAGGAAGTATGGGAAAAAATGGTCATTTGTATAGTGTAGTTAAAGTATTAGATAATTATTTAAAATCATTGACCCGAGAAGTTTTAAGACAAGTAGGTGTTATTCTCGTTATATTTCTTACTTTTTTGTTTCTAGACTAATTCAAATTTTCATTTATTTAGGCATGAAATGGCACTTCTATAGCTTTTTTTACCAAAATCTTTGTTCAGAGATAATTCTGCCTTTCGTAATTTACCATTCTTAACTTTTTAAATGAAAAAAAGTTTATCTATTAGTTTGAAAGAATCACTGAATCGTTTTACATTGACCTAAACTATTGCCCTTTATTCTTAAGAATGAAATTGAAGAATGAAGTTGGCATTTCCATGTTTTTTTTACATAAGGAGATTTTTCAAAAATCCCATTACCATAGCAAGAATAAGTAATAAATAATCTGCCATAATTACTTTTGTTGTGCTACTACAATTCGTATTATAACTTACTATTTGAACGTCAAAACTGTGCTTGCCAGCTGATACCATATTTGAGCATGCATATGAAGAACTGAAAATTTTTTGAATATTATTTATACATTTATTAGAAATAAAATGACTTCTTAATCAGCGCTCTTCTGAAATTGGTGTTATGAAAGAAAGTGTAGGCAATAATTGAACTAGAAACGACCTGTAAGGAAGGGTAGTACGGAAATTTTGAAATTTTTGTGATGATGTTTGCTATATTTAATTCATCTTTATCAACGATCATGATAAAGACGAGTTAAGTAGAGGAAAATGTATTCCATTTTTCATTTTGCTTTCACTTTACAACGATCATTCCATATTTTACCTACTTTTTTTTACTTGGTAATTTCCAGAAACCACCAACAATTTGGGTCATCTACTACAAGAACTGTAAAAATATGTGCATACTTAGGGAACCAGTTGACATATTAGAACAATACGTCTTTGTCCTTCTTGGAGTGATGACATTTTTTTGAAACCACCTTGAAATTCCAATACAAAGATGTGCTTAAATCAGTGGAAGGAATGAAACAGAGAAGGTGAATGGAAGAAATTTGCACAGTAGCAAGTGCAGAAGGTTACAGGACCACTTGTATTCATCTAGTTTTAAAATTGAAATACTCATTGATATTAATCAGACAATTTAATACTTCAGAATTATAAAAGGATGGTATGTAGACAAAGATACTACTCCGAAACGTAATGTGAAAGGAATCTGAAGTAGAACTGAGTAATGCAAATATTGTTATACTTAATCTTAATTCTCTGCAACTTTCTTGATGTCCTAAATATAGCAATCGAATTTTTAACAAATTAAAGTTTGAAGATTGATTCATTTAAATTTCAGCTAATATGTAACATTCGAGAGTTTTAGTTTATAAGAAAAACGTAACGTTTGTACATTTCATCGCAAAAATTATTCAGATTGCATAGATCGGTAAACCAAACAGAAATTCATTTCATTTATTGTTGAAATTGATATTTAAAACTCACTAGAAAGAATGTAAATGAGCAAGATATAGAAGTTGAAGAAGATGCAGAATGGAAGAAATACAGTAATTTGAAAACAACCGGATAACTGATTATCATGCCAATATTGGGTTATCAGGGCACATTGTTGAGATTTTGGGAACTGTTGGTGATATTCAGTCCCCAATCACTCCACGGTGTATTTTTATTGTCCTCCTTTTAATATCATGTTTTCTTTTCTCAAGAATTAACTGATCTGCATAACTCCAAATGGGATCGATTTCTGTTTTACTGCTGATAACAACGCAGCTTTCGAGAAATCTATTTTAATCAGTTTGATATTAATTTATAAATTACACTATTCTTTTCTAATTTTAGTGTATTTTTCATCCTCGTATCCATTTTCCTGAGAAATTCCCAAAGAAACAAACATTTAAGTAATGCGGAGGGATTTTCTTAGACAGTTTGCTTTGGTTTATCAAAAGTAGTAGTTTATCTTTTTCGGTGCTTATCTCCTCCATTAAATCGATAACTGATGTAAATCTTATATCAGGGGCTTGCAGCAATGGACCAGAAGTACACACACGGAAACGACTATTTGTTGAAAAGTTCTAAAGTTTTCCGAATGATAACCATTTTGAATTTTTGGATTCACAATAAAAAGAATAAAGGGGACCAAGCTTCACAAGTAATGAAAAGATGCAGTTTCCATGTGTTATGAAAAACGAATTGCAAAAGAAAAATTACAAAATGTATTAATGAATTAGAAAATGAATTAATGAATTATGCGAAAGAGTAATTCAAGTCTAACTGCTAATAATTTGACTGAAAAAGTTGTATTCTCTACAAGTTAATAGTAGTGAATTAGACCATCAAGAGTGAAAAATATTGCCTCTTTTAATAAGAAATGCTTTAATAATCAAATAAAACAAACGATAACATCATTTATTACATATATACATATTATTATGGAGAGTAGTTATAAAAAATCATAATTAATTAGTTTGAATTCTAAGCGATGTACATTCTTATCACAACATTTCTAGGAGTCAACTGAAGAGATCCTTTTTTCTTTCTTCCAACAGTCTCTATCAATCTTAATTCAGAACAAAAATACATTTAGATCAGAACTGATTTGATTGTACTTAAAAAATTCGAAATGGATTCAAATTGGCTAATTTTCTTGCAAAGTTAGAAAATTACCACTAAGTGATTAGTGATTTTACAGAATGAATTTTTCTCTGTAAAGAACTGAAAGATGAAATGAATGAAACATTTGGGAGTAACTACTTTTCGGTTATTATTTCTTTCTAAATTTAACAAAAAATTGATGTCGTTATGCCTATAAACAAGAAATTAATTCTATTACAGCTGATATAACTCGTGATATCATGTTTTTCTGTTTGATATTATGAATTTAAAAAGTGATGGAAAGAATTGTTTGCAAACAAAAGATCTACCAAAGAATTTGTTCGGATGATAAAAAGGGAAACGAAATTAAATCTGTGTATCAAACATACAGCAGAATAACATATGTTCCATGTATTTTTAAAAGAGCGCACAACGAGAATCGTTTTATTGACCTGAATTTCCCATTAAAGAGAGCACCGCAAAAGTCCGAAGTTTGAATTCATCTTAATTCGACAACTAGTAATGGTGGTGACGATGATGGTAATGACGATGAGAACGATGAGCATGATAAAGATGCTGGTGACCTCGAAGGAATTAACGTACTTTTTCATCATATCAAGGACCTTACAAATACAAATTTATACCGCAGGACTATCAACTTTGATTTTGCCAGTGTTTGCAAATGAACTGTATACACTGTTTGCTGTATACAGAAACATCCAATGAATATGCTCTCACTAATTTTTAATACTTCTCTTAAATTTGTGATTTCTACTGAATTATGCATTTGATGTCAATCATGTCAATCAATGTAGACTCTAATGACCAGAAGAGGACATCATTGGAGAAACCATTGTGTCTTTGCTGATTTAAATTGAATATTGCAAACTAATGTCAGTTTAAAAATAGATGAAATAAGACCTGATAACACCTGATAATATAATTTCTTTCTACAAACTAGTATCAAGACATAGTTGAAATGCGTAATCTTCCGGTTATTTTGCGCATGCAGGATCTCTTAATAGCAGCCTGATAACAGCCGTACTAACATATATTTCAAATTCATTTGAATTCCACAGAAACAGTTGTTGTCGTATAAGCAACATGTATCCAATGTTACATATGACTTCTCATTTATATTTGATTATTAAGAAAGATGTACGCTTAAAAATTCATTTTATTACCTTTCAATTGATCCCATCAAAATCTTAGAGCACACTGCCTATTTTTCGGAAACAATCAAAAGGTTTATAAAACATCAAACAAACATTACAGCATGCAATAAAGCCATTAATTAAATTCGACAAAGAGAATATTTGAAGATTATTATTTACATTATGAACCAAAATGGCAAGTAATGCATCCTTTTTAATTAAAATATACAAGCATGTGAAGCAAGTTTATTCGAAATGGATAGCAAGCAACTGAGTCATCACTAATTATTAATTAACTTGACGTAGATATATTCATCACTTTTGTAACTAACATGTTCTTTGACCATTACTTCATGGGACATTGCTACAGTTCAAAAAAAGAATCAATGGATAACCGGAAAGTTAAATGATAATGCTCGCTTGTAAGAATCGGCAAAATTTTGTAATAAAATTGAAAGTGAATTATTTTATCGAGAGAACAGTTCAGGTATATATATTAAGCAATAATAAAACTTGGAAAATTTTCCAAATAGAAAAATTACATTAACTTAAAGCCATGTAATTTTTGATTGCTTGCTGAAAGGTAAATTTTTAAAAAAAACCTGTTTTACTGACACGGTAAACTACTACAAATATCCTTTGCTGGTTATTTTTTTTTCCAGTATTTAAACTGACAAGCTATCACTAAACAAAAAAAACTGTGGAATCAAAATTCGAAAAAATTCGAACTTAAATTTGGAGACATATTTTTAAAGGATTTCAAGTTCGGATAGTTAGTTGTTTCCTTCAGAAGATACTCCGAAATATCGTGTCATCGAAAAAGTCACATATTTATTTACCTTGAATAACTTACATAATTTTTCACTTCACAAAAAGTATCTGGCAGTATTTAATGACTACTCACTGCAGCCATGCATTATTTTAGAAAACAGAAGAAAAGGCTGGTTTTACCAGATTACCTGATTTAAT